GGAAGAGCCGCAGCGTCGACGAGCTGAAGTAGCAAAACTGATGTGGATGGAGTACTGAGAAGTCAAAGACGTGGGAAGGTAAGTCAGAGTCAATCGTCGTATCGAGCAGGACGACGACGAGTGCACTGTGAACGCTCAGAAGCATTCGGCTGCCGCTGAAGGTCTGCCTCAGATGGAGCCGGCTCGACTTCAGCGGTCTCCTCAGCCGGAGGAGAAGGAGGAGGGTCAGTGGGCTGAGGAGGAGCAGTGAACCCAGCACGACGAGCACGGTCATAGGCACGCACCAACATGCGAGCGTGCTGCAAGTGCTCGAGGGGCTCCCAGGTAGCCTCCTCATCAGGGTAACCCTTCCAACGTACGAGATACTCGACGTGGGGAGGGTTGTCGTCGGTGACTCGGCGACCAATGATGTCTGAAACGAGGAACTCCTCATGACCGTCCACCATGATGGGTGGAGGGCGCTCGTATGGTCGTCCGGCGAAACGCTCAGACGGTCTACGGTAAGGACGCAGTAACGAGACGTGGTAGACATCGTGCACGTGAGTCTGGCGTAGGTAGTCCGGCAGCTTCACACGGAAACTGACTGGGCTAGAAGTCGTATCAGAACCGACGGCCTGGAGGATGAGGCATGGGCCAAAGAAGCGACGCCGAAACTTGCGAAGCGTGTCCGCTTCGAGCTGTAAGTGGCGGGCGTCGATAAGCTTGTCATCACCGACTTTGAATGGATGATCCATCCTCGATCGGTTCGCACGTGCTGCCATGCGAGTCTGGGAAGCGGCTATGTGCTCATGTGCAGCCTTCATGATCGACGTCATGTGTGCAACCCAATCATCCAGCGCGGCACAACTCGTGTCGGGGTGCATCTGTGACGGTCGGAGGAAGTCCGCGGGAATACGAGGGTGGTAGCCGAGATCGCAATAGTAAGGCGACATCCCCGTGGCTGGCGAGACGGCGTGGTTGTCGGCTATCTCAGCGTGGGCAAGATGGAGATCCCACTGTTGGTCGTCACGAACAATCTTCGAGAATATCCCCGAGAGTCCTGTTCGTGATCTCGGTCTGACCATCAGTCTGAGGATGGTAARACGAGGAGAAGCGGATCTGAGTGCCGTACACCTCGTTGAGCCGTCGCCAGAATCGGCTGGTAAAGCGCGGGTCACGGTCAGATATGATGCTCAGAGGTAAGCCGTGGTCACGCACGACTCGGTCAAATACGATGTCGGCGACCTCACGTGCACTGATGGCATAGCGGCACGGAACATAGCGTGCACGCTTCGTGAAGCGGTCGACGACGACCAGGATAGCATCATGACCGCAGGGGGTCGGAGGTCGAAGAGGACCGATAAAGTCCATCGAGATGGACTGCCAACGACCCTCAGGGATAGGAAGAGGCTGGAGCAAACTATAAGGTAGGTGGTTTGCACTGTTCACCTCCTGACAGGTGGGACACTCTGCGACGTAGTCCTTCACAAAGTCCTTGCGCTTCAGCCAGACGTACAGGCGGCTCACACGAGCCAACGTCTTGTGGAAGCCCATATGACCGGCGGCCGCCTGGTCATGGAACTCTGCTACTGCTCGGACATGTAGTTGTCCAGTGGAGGAAACGCAAATACGGGGCTCTCTGGTGCCCTGTGAACCGTGCCAGTACACAAGACCGTTGTCCCCGAGAGAGTAGTTCGGGACGGTCTTGCCACTCCGAAGGGTCGCGTGGATGTCGCGATAGTCGGGGCAGTAGCGGTACTGAGTGCGAAACTCGTCGATCACCGAGTGGTGGACGGTGGTGACCGAGATGGAAGAGAGCTGGATGTGCTCCTGGTTGTGGTCAGGGCGCCGGGATAAGGCATCTGCGACCCGATTAGTCTCACCCTATATGTGCTCAGTGGTGAAACTAAACTCGGATAGGTCGCGCCACCAGCGAGCCTGTCGAGGAGTGAGCTTCGGCTTTGTCAGAAAAGCCTGGGCAACAGAGTTGTCCGTGCGCACCGTGAATGGTGCCACGTGCAGGTAGTGACGCCAGTGTCGAGCGACATAAACTACTGCGAGAACCTCACGTTCATCAGCAGTGTAGTTTATCTCG